GCGTGTTCACCGAGGTCTCCCTGTCTTGCGTCTTCACTCCGACCATGGTGGCGAGTTTGTCTCTGGCTGCGTTGATCGCTTCTGTTATACGGAGGGCATCACCCAAACGTTCACCCTGCCGGACTCCCCACAGTAGAATGGGGTCGCTGAGCGACGCATCGGCTTGGTCATGGAGGTGACTTGCACCTCCATGATCCATGCCAGTACACCCTATTTTCTGTGGCCGTTCGCCATTCGCTACGCCGCTCACCAGCTTAACCTGTGGCTGCACCCTCAGCAGTCGCAGGTTTCGCCGACCCTTCTCTGGAATGGGTCCCCTAGTGACGCGTCAGCGTTCCACGTCTGGGGCTGCCTTGCTCACGTTCATGCCTCTGGCACGAACAAGCTCACTGCTCGCACTGTCCCCTGTGTCTTCCTAGGTTTCCCCCTCAACTCGTCTGACTAGCAGTTCTACCACCCGCCTTCTCACCGTTTCTTCCACTCTCGCGACGTTACTTTTGACGAGTCCGTCTCCTTCTACCACCGCTTTCCCCAACGTGGTCCCCCGGTCACTCCCCCCCAGTTCCTGGTTCCCCCCCACCCCCCGGTCGCCCCTGTTTCCCCCCCTCCTCGCCCTGCCCCATCTGGAGCGGGCTCTAGGGGTGCTGGCGTAGGGCTCCTCGGAGGGAGCCGTGTTGTCGCTGGAGGTTCCGGTGTTGGAGTCGGGCAGCAGTCGCAGCCGTCGCAACCGGTGTCCGCTCTTCGCCTCCTCGGTCTTCCTTCCCCTGACCACCTGTCCATGCCTCCTTCGTCTCAGTCGCCTCCTCCTTTGCCGGTCCACGGCCCAGTGTCTCCTCCCCTCTCTCCTGACCCGACTCCTCCATCTCACGTCTGGTCTCGTCGTCCCTCTCCTGCTCATCCTACCTCCCATGTTCCGCGTTCTCGCCCTATGTTGCTTCGCTCCTACGCGTCTCGTGCTCCTCTTCTCCTCCCGTCTCCTCCCCCATCGTCACTTGCTGTGGCCCCGCCTCCGTTCTCTGAATTCCTCCGTGCTGCACGTCCCCTTGTTCCTCGTGTCCTTGCCTCTCTTGTTACCGACCCGTCCGTTCCTGTTTCGAGTCTGTCGGCTCTTGTTGCTGCTGTCACTAACTTCGCTGCTACCCACCGCTAGGACTACGCCACCGCTCTGGTCTCTGCCCCTGCCTGCCCTCCGGCTGTCGGGGGTGTGGCTGCTCTTGGCAATAACATCCTAGAGGACAGGCAGTTCGAGCTCGCTTTCCTTTCAGAGGCCGCTCCCCATCTCTGTTCCATGCTACTAGTCCCTGAGGGTGACCCAGACGCCCTTGACATCCCGACCCCTCGCACCTACGCTCAGGCCACCTCGGGACCCTGAGCCTCTCAGCGGATAGTTGCCATGGAGCAGGAGATGGCATCTTGGAGATCCACCGGTACCTTCGTCGAAGCAGTTCCCCCACCTGGGGTGAACGTGGTCGATGGTTGGTGGCTCTTCAAGGTGAAGCGCCCTCCTGGGGAGCCGCCTATCTTAAAGGCGCGCTACGTTGCTCGAGGCTTCAATCAGCGTGAGGAGGTGGACTTTTTTCATACCTTTGCCCTGACCCCGAAGATGACTACTCTTCGGGCACTACTACATGTACCAGCACAGCGTGACTACGAGCTGCCCTACCTCGACTTCTCCACAGCTTTCCTCCAAGGCAGTCTACGCGAGCAAGTATACCTGCAACGCCCTCAGGGCTTCTCAGGTACCTTTCCCCCTGGCACCGAGTGTCTCCTCAGGCGCCCCGTACTACACTTGCTGACTTCCAGTTCTTCCCCTCTTTTGTAGACCCTTCGCTCTTCGTCCGTTCCGGCCAGACTCCGTTCTACATCCTTATCTACGTAGACGACCTGGTCTTTGCAACCATACACAGAGACGCACTGGCCTCAGGGAAGGCCGATCTGCTGAGGAGACACACCTGCACTGACCTAGGAGAGCAGGCCCCGGGCAGACACCGACCACGGCACTGGTCGGCCGCTAAGAGGGTTTTGCGTTATCTAGCAAGTACATCGGGCATGGGGCTTTTGTTAGGAGGACGCAGACGAGTGGTCCTTACCAAGGACACAGACGCTTCTTGGGCAGATGACGCCGAGAATCTCAGGTCCTCCCAGGGCTATGCTTTAGCCTTGGTGCAGGTGTTATCTCGTGGAGGTCCACCCGCTCCTCGTCTGTTGCCCAGTCTAGCTGTGAGGCTGAGATCTACGTTGGTGTCATGGTGGCACAGGAGCTCCGCTGGCTGACCTTCTTGCTCACCGACCTGGGTGAGCGGCCTAGCTCTGCCCCGGTTCTGTACGCTGACAACAGGGCCATGATACTCCTGTGTCAGGAGCCATGACTTGAGGGCAGAGCGAAGCACATCGAGCTGCGGTACTTCCTCCTGTGCAAGCTGCAGCAGCGTCGCCAGGCTCATGTAGTACACTTGGCCTCCGGTGCCAACACAGCAGACCTTTATATGTATTACCGTGACTGGCCTTGTGGCCTCTTCCCCGTGGCTGGACTAGTAGTGCCGCCCTGGTCTTGCTCTTGCCTTGTCTGTACTTGTTTGACTGGTCTTTAGACCCCTGCCTCAGAGGCTGGACTAGTAGTGCCACCCTGAGCTATTTCTCTCTCATCAGGCACTGCCCCTATGCAGTCTAGGGGGTTTGTCAAACATGTATTGTATGTTGTGTAGACTATATAGGGTTATGCCTTAGGGAGTACAACCCATTAGGTTATATTCCCTTGTATGTCTTGCTCTGGTTCATTCATTCACTTTGATATCCGTGTCCCACGAAAGTCAGCGAACTCCATCAACGAAGTGACGAAATCAGGCGCGGAAGCGTAACGATGACGAATGTCGGTTGAAAGTGGATAATGGAACGCGCCGAAGGGTCAGACGAAAAGTGCAGCACAGCTGCACTTCTCCCCTCTCCTAGAAGAAAACAGCTCCCAAATACCCAGGTAAAACTCAAGAAAACCCAATGCTCCAGGGGCGTCAAAATAAGCTCACGTTGCTGCTTAAAAGTCTCGTACTCAGCTTCGAAGATGCCGTTAAAATATATCCCAGCCAGTAAAAACGCGAATCAGGATGACTTCAAAATCTGCTCCAGGGTAGACCGCGTCGAAAGTTTTAAAATTCCGCAAGTACTGCTCCAGAATAATCCCACACGAACTCCAAAATTCTTCATAAGGCAACCACTGCTGGCGAGCTAGTCCAACAAAGCTCCAACAATGCAAAATATTCTCGTTTTGATATTGCTGCTGTAGATTCGAATGGCGAGGCGGGGTCGTGTTCATACAATCATGTGAATTGAGAATGGAGGTGGTAGCGGGTTATGGCGAGAGGCTGACGACGATGACGTTGGAGAGTAACCAATACGAGTCCCGCTCCATTGAAAAACCTCGAACCAAACCCGGGGTCGAATGACGCCAGCTGCATCAGCTTCTTTGTCCGTACACGCCGAAAATTTCGGGAAGAGACGAAACAGCTGCTACACTTCTCCTCCTCTATGCACCCAAAATATTCCGAGATTATCGGTCGATGTCGCTCATACCCCTGAAGATAGCAAGCACAACTCCTGCTGTAAACTCTGGAACCTCTCCTCAACCCCACCAAAAATGTCGGAACTCCATCGATACTTAACCAAAACTGCAACACTGCTTCCCAGCTACCCGTAAAAATGTCCAGGCGTCACGGCGTCCTTTAGCAGTGCCCCCACGGTTTCTCCACCAGCTGTACGCATAAACTTAACCGTTTATATTAGGGTTTACCGGAGTCCACCGCCTCGGCATGATGTTTTGGCCGTCGATCAGGGTCAATGCGCATCATACGCCGTCGATCTCCGCCCAGCTGCTACCCAACTTTAAAATACTTTGGTACCTCTGCCGGCTGGCCGTGCAGACGTTCACCCATCTCGCGGCTGCTGCATGTTACCCAAGACTGCTTCGCTGCTGCTTAACGAACTAGGAGAATTCGCAGAGATAGGAGTGCGCACGCTTCGAGTCAGAGGAGCTTTAACGAGCTCGCCTACTGACCTCTGGACAGCTCCATCCTCCGTCGGAAACTCGTCAAACTACACCCGCAAAAGTCGGAACCTCCTGTTGTGTGATGTCATCATATGCTATCACATTCTGTCTGCCTCCCATCCCATGTTTTTTCAACTTGCATGTGTGGTTTGAATGTGCAAGCATTTGTGTGTGGTGTGTTCTGGAGTTTGGGAATGTGTTTTGTGTTATTCTGTCTGAGCAGGTATTTGTGATAATAGATCTTGAGAAGATCTTTCCGACGCAACAAGAATCGCTTCAATCGGAGCAAGAACGCGAAAGCTATGAAGATTCAAAGTTCATGAGCTTGCGTTACAATTGCGGCGGTTACTAAGTGAAGTTGTGGGGTGACTTTATATGGAGTTGGGACCTTTGGGGTTGGGGAAACTTGTCACTCTACTGTAACAGCTGCAAATTGGTTGGGAACAACCAAGCTAGGTTGGCAAGGGTGGCCAACTTGGATGGATTGGTTGGGAAGGGACAAATGTCAAAGTTGGGGTTCCTATAGGGAGGGAATCTTTGTGCTTATGGGGTTTTCCTTGGTTGGGGACTCTCTTGGGACCTTCCCTCTCATCCCTCTCTTCCTATCCCAACCTTTCTCTTGCTCCTTCTAATTCCTTGTGAGATTCTTGAACTTTGATTGAACCTTTGAGATTGAGTTAAGTTCTCCTCCTACAGCTTACCCCCTAATGCGTCGAAAGCCATAGCGTCGCGAATACTTCATCAATCAACGTGATTCAAATTGGGAACGGTAGCTGAGATTAAGAGCTACAACATATCCAAGTTTCGCGACATTCCAACGGCTAGTTTTTTGTCGACGTCGTTTCTTGTAAAGACGACTTTTCTGTCCAGAATTTCGGATTTATATTTTGAGTAATTCTAGCTCCTAAGTTCACCTAGACTCCGTCCTTAATCCTAACAAGTGGTATCAGAGCCATATTAAGGACATTGAGAGGAGTCTACAGAAGTGTAAAGACCCTTCTAGACCCACCATGGCCTGTGGGTGTGCCTAAGTGGTGTTCTAAAGGTTGGATGTGACTTCCGCTAAGGGGAAACTCTGCCGAAATTTCGTGGACGCCGACACTTGTGAAAATATCGAGGGAGTTGAGTGTGGACAGCAAAGGGGAGCTGAAATTCGTCATTTCTCAAGGAGGAGATGAATGAGAGAGGAGGAGATGCTAATGGAAGAGGAGCTGTAGCTGAGAAGGCAAGTGAGCCGCCGCCATCAAAAGTTGAAGCTTTGGATGGCTCCAACTATGAGGAATGGAGCGGACGGATGAGGAGTGCCTTCAAACGCTACAAGCTACTGAAGATTGCTGTTGGGGAAGAGAAGATGCCGGAAGAAGGCGAAGCACGTGAACGGTGGATTGAGAAAAGCGCGGTGCTTTTCGACCTCATCCTTCAATCGGTCAACAAGGAGATGTTCGAGCACATCAAGGATCTTGTGGAAGCGGATGATGCGGGTCCAAGGGCGTGGAAACAACTACGTGATGTGATTCAGCCCAACACTCTCCCAATGGTGATCGTGCTCGAGAAAGAACTTGCTGCCATCTCCATGCGACCAGGGGATGATGTGAAGCCGGTCCTTGACAAGATCAAGGACACCTATGCAAGGATGGCAGCAGCAGGCAGCAGTGTATCTCAGCTGCAGCAGTGCACCAAGATCATCTCGGTGTTGGACAACTCTTGGGACAACCTCATCCCCACCCTCAACTCTCAGCAAGATCAATGGACACCTGAGTGGCTAAGGCAGCAGATTCTGCAGGAGGACTTCCGTAGACGCCATGTGGGAGGCGGTGCTGCCACTACGACTGCTGAGGGGTATGGAGCTGTAGGGCGCGGCAGAGGAAGAGGGGGTTGGAGAGGCCGAGGCCGTGGGAGGAGCTTTGGCAGAGGTAGAGGCCGAGGTGACTATAATGAGGGGCATGGGAGCTCCAGTGGCAGGGGGAGTACCAGAATGGAGGGAACCTGCTGGTACTGCAAGAAGGTCGGGCATCCTTGGTTCAAGTGCTTCAGCAGGCCGGAGGGATGGGCACCTCCAGGCATGAAGCCGCCCAGTGGTGAACGCGCACAAGGTGGCGCTGTGCAAGGCTCAGGTGCACAAGGTGAAGGTGCACAAGGTAATGCCTATCCTGGTTTGTTTCTTATGGTTGAGGATGTGCATGGGCATGAGGGTGATGTGGGATTTGTGGGAAAGGTTGTGATGCACCCTCTCACGCACTGGGTGATTGATTCGGGTTGCACCAGTCACATGACCCCACGGGCAGATTTGCTTGATGAGGTAAAACCCCCTGGGAAGATTAAGTATGTGGCAGCAGCGTCAGGTGCTTTGCTCCCCGTGATTGGTGTTGGGAATGCCAAGGTTAAGGGAGCTAATGGGGAGCTTGTGGGGCTTGGGAATGTTCTGCTGGTTAAAGGCTTGTCTGCTAACCTTCTCTCTGTGCGGCGGCTGCAGAAGAGTAAGGCCGAAGTGACCTTTGGACCAACCAGCTGCCGTGCTAAGCTTGGGAAGAAGGTGCTGTGGAGTCTGGAAGAGGAGACCAGCTGCATCAAGGACCTGTGGCAGCTGCCCATCATCCCTTGGAATGGGAAGACTCCAACAGCAGCAACGGCAGCAGTGGCAAAGGCAACAGCAGGAGGAGATGCAACTGCACCAACTGATGGGGTGCTGGAAGCAGTCAAGAAAGTGCAGAAGCAGCAGACACATGGTGAGGTGCTTGCTGGTGTGGATGCGAGTGCGGCATGGGCTAAGGCTTCATCAAAGAGTGGAGAGGCCGATTGGGAGACATGGCATGAGAGGCTGTGTCATGTGAACTTCCCTATGCTACAGAAGTTGGTGAAGGATGGGAGCCTGAAGGGCTTGGAGGTGAAAGGGGAAGTGAAGGAGATTGGGAGCTGCCCTACATGCTTGGAGACCAAGTTCTCCAAGTTCCCCTTCAACAGTGCAACTGGACCAGCCAAGACCCCACTTGCACTTGTGCACATGGATGTGGTGGGGCCCACAAGAGCCCCTTCCCTCTCAGGCAGCCGCTATTTCTTGACAATTGTGGATGACCACACTTGGGCAGTGTGGGTTTACCCTTTGAAGAGCAAGGGGGAGGTGGCAGCGGCTGTCCTTAAGGAGTGGATGCCGAGAGCTCAGAGGGAATGCGGACACAAGGTGAAGGTGATCCGTAGTGACAATGGTGGGGAGTTCATTGGAGCTGATTTTGAGGGGGAGTTGAAGAGGAAGGGGATCCAGCATCAACTGACAGTGCCCTACAACCCACAGCAGAATGGCGTGGCTGAGAGGTTCAACAGGACCCTGCAGGAGGGGGCACGCACTCTCCTTGGGCGTGCAGGGCTGCCTGATCCGTTTTGGGTGTCTGCACTGAGGCAGGTCGCCCTTGTGAAGAACAGGGTGCTGGCTACAGTTGGAGATAAGGAGTGGATCCCATACGTCAAGTGGTATGGGAGTGCTCCAGCTGTGAACATGCTGAGGGCATTTGGGTGCATGGTGGTGTTTCATGTGCCTAAGGAGAAAAGGGGGAAGTTGGAGGCTTCTGGAAGATGGGGTGTGCACTTGGGGATTGCAAAGGATCACAAGGGGTGGCTGCTATGGGACTTGACCACCCAGAAGTTGACAGTGTCAAGGGATGTGAAGTTTCTTGAGTCCCTGTACTACAAGGAATGGAAGCAGCAGCAACAGAAGCTTCCATCTACACCGCTCATTGTGGAGGCAGATGAGGTGCAGCAGCCTTCAAGACAGGTGGAGGTTGCAGTGTCAGAGGAGGAGATGTCTGGGGTGACTGAGGAAGGGGGAGCAGCTGAAGTAGAGCAGCAGCAGCAGCAGCAGCATGAGTCTCCACCTCGAGTTCCACACCCGCCTGAGCGTCCTAGGAGGGATGTGCGCCCTCCAGTGAGGCTGACCTATGGGGGAAGAGGCAAGCCGAATGTGGTGCAGGCTGGGAGTGTGGTTGAGCAGATTGAGGAAGATGAGATCGCTCACTGCTACTGGGCACCAATCCCTGAGCCCAAGACTCGAGAAGAGGCCTTGAATGGACCAAATGGGGAGAAGTGGAAGGCGAGTGAGGATGAGGAGTTCGGGTCCCTAATTGAGAACGAGACATGGGACCTGTGTGACTTGCCTCCTGGAAAGAAGGCAATCACTTCCAAGATGATCTACAGGCACAAGTATGGACCTGAAGGGGAGCTGACCCGCTACAAGTCTAGGCTTGTGGCACGGGGGTTTCAGCAGACAAAGGGGAAGGACTATGATGAGGTGTTTGCTCCTGTGGGGAAAGGAACAACACTGAGGGTGCTGTTGGCGATAGCTGCACTCCTGGGATGGAAGATTCGGCAGATGGATATTGTGACTGCCTTTCTGAATGGGATCATTATGGAGGAGGTGTACATGAAGCAGCCAGAGGGGCTGGATGACGGGAGCGGCAGGGTCTGCAGGCTGAAGAAGGCCATCTATGGCCTTAAGCAGGCGCCTCGTGCATGGTATCACAAGTTGGAGGAGGCGCTGTTGGCTGGGGGTTTCAAGAAGAGTGAGTGTGACCCCAGCCTGTTCCTGCTGCAGGAGAAGGATGAAATCCTCATGCTCTTGGTGTATGTGGATGATATCCTTCTCTTTTCTGCATCCACTGCTTTGCTGGACAGCGCAGAGCAGATGCTGGAGATGCAGTTCAAGTGCTCCAAGATGGGTGAGGTGAAGTACTACTTGGGGATGCACGTGGAGAGAGATGTGGAAAAGGGTGTGCTGAGGTTGCACCAGAGGAAGTACTGTGAGGGGCTGGCTGAGAAGTATGGGCTGCAAGATGGGGGAAAGCCAGCAACACCACTACCTTCGGGGTTCACTGTGGAGCCATGTGCTGATGAGGAGGTAGTGGGTGATAGTGACAGGAAGCTGTTTCATTCGATGGTTGGGTCGCTGAATTATGCTGCAAATCATACACGGCCTGACATTGCATTTGCTACATCACGGTTGGCTAGTGTGGTCTCACGCCCTAGTCATGAGCAGCTGGAAGCGGCCTAAGAGGTTGGTCCGCTATGTGAGTGCTACGGCATCAGTGGGATTGGAGTACAGTGGAGTGAGGCAGCGGTTGCAGAGAGGTGCTGCAGATGTGAAGAGTGGAGAGATGCTCTTGAGTTGCTATACTGACGCTAGCTTCAACTCAGTGAAAGTGGATGGCACCAGCATTGGGGGTTATGTGTGCTTGCTAGGAGGTGGTGCTGTGAGCTGGCGCAGCAAGAAGCAAAATGAGGTGGGATTGTCTTCATGTGAGACTGAGTACATGGCCTTACACCATGGGGCCAAGGAAGTGGTATGGCTGAGGCGTTTGTTGGAGGAGTTGGGAGTTGGTCAGGAGAAGCCGACAGTTGTGTTTTGTGACAATGAGTCCGCTGTGAAGCTCGCCAAGAATGCTTGTCTGCATGGGCTGACAAAACACATAAGGCCTAAGTGGCATTGGGTGAGGAGACTCCTTGATAAGGAGGTGCAGACGAGTGGTCCTTACCAAGGACACAGACGCTTCTTGGGCAGATGACGCCGAGAATCTCAGGTCCTCCCAGGGCTATGCTTTAGCCTTGGTGCAGGTGTTATCTCGTGGAGGTCCACCCGCTCCTCGTCTGTTGCCCAGTCTAGCTGTGAGGCTGAGATCTACGTTGGTGTCATGGTGGCACAGGAGCTCCGCTGGCTGACCTTCTTGCTCACCGACCTGGGTGAGCGGCCTAGCTCTGCCCCGGTTCTGTACGCTGACAACAGGGCCATGATACTCCTGTGTCAGGAGCCATGACTTGAGGGCAGAGCGAAGCACATCGAGCTGCGGTACTTCCTCCTGTGCAAGCTGCAGCAGCGTCGCCAGGCTCATGTAGTACACTTGGCCTCCGGTGCCAACACAGCAGACCTTTATATGTATTACCGTGACTGGCCTTGTGGCCTCTTCCCCGTGGCTGGACTAGTAGTGCCGCCCTGGTCTTGCTCTTGCCTTGTCTGTACTTGTTTGACTGGTCTTTAGACCCCTGCCTCAGAGGCTGGACTAGTAGTGCCACCCTGAGCTATTTCTCTCTCATCAGGCACTGCCCCTATGCAGTCTAGGGGGTTTGTCAAACATGTATTGTATGTTGTGTAGACTATATAGGGTTATGCCTTAGGGAGTACAACCCATTAGGTTATATTCCCTTGTATGTCTTGCTCTGGTTCATTCATTCACTTTGATATCCGTGTCCCACGAAAGTCAGCGAACTCCATCAACGAAGTGACGAAATCAGGCGCGGAAGCGTAACGATGACGAATGTCGGTTGAAAGTGGATAATGGAACGCGCCGAAGGGTCAGACGAAAAGTGCAGCACAGCTGCACTTCTCCCCTCTCCTAGAAGAAAACAGCTCCCAAATACCCAGGTAAAACTCAAGAAAACCCAATGCTCCAGGGGCGTCAAAATAAGCTCACGTTGCTGCTTAAAAGTCTCGTACTCAGCTTCGAAGATGCCGTTAAAATATATCCCAGCCAGTAAAAACGCGAATCAGGATGACTTCAAAATCTGCTCCAGGGTAGACCGCGTCGAAAGTTTTAAAATTCCGCAAGTACTGCTCCAGAATAATCCCACACGAACTCCAAAATTCTTCATAAGGCAACCACTGCTGGCGAGCTAGTCCAACAAAGCTCCAACAATGCAAAATATTCTCGTTTTGATATTGCTGCTGTAGATTCGAATGGCGAGGCGGGGTCGTGTTCATACAATCATGTGAATTGAGAATGGAGGTGGTAGCGGGTTATGGCGAGAGGCTGACGACGATGACGTTGGAGAGTAACCAATACGAGTCCCGCTCCATTGAAAAACCTCGAACCAAACCCGGGGTCGAATGACGCCAGCTGCATCAGCTTCTTTGTCCGTACACGCCGAAAATTTCGGGAAGAGACGAAACAGCTGCTACACTTCTCCTCCTCTATGCACCCAAAATATTCCGAGATTATCGGTCGATGTCGCTCATACCCCTGAAGATAGCAAGCACAACTCCTGCTGTAAACTCTGGAACCTCTCCTCAACCCCACCAAAAATGTCGGAACTCCATCGATACTTAACCAAAACTGCAACACTGCTTCCCAGCTACCCGTAAAAATGTCCAGGCGTCACGGCGTCCTTTAGCAGTGCCCCCACGGTTTCTCCACCAGCTGTACGCATAAACTTAACCGTTTATATTAGGGTTTACCGGAGTCCACCGCCTCGGCATGATGTTTTGGCCGTCGATCAGGGTCAATGCGCATCATACGCCGTCGATCTCCGCCCAGCTGCTACCCAACTTTAAAATACTTTGGTACCTCTGCCGGCTGGCCGTGCAGACGTTCACCCATCTCGCGGCTGCTGCATGTTACCCAAGACTGCTTCGCTGCTGCTTAACGAACTAGGAGAATTCGCAGAGATAGGAGTGCGCACGCTTCGAGTCAGAGGAGCTTTAACGAGCTCGCCTACTGACCTCTGGACAGCTCCATCCTCCGTCGGAAACTCGTCAAACTACACCCGCAAAAGTCGGAACCTCCTGTTGTGTGATGTCATCATATGCTATCACATTCTGTCTGCCTCCCATCCCATGTTTTTTCAACTTGCATGTGTGGTTTGAATGTGCAAGCATTTGTGTGTGGTGTGTTCTGGAGTTTGGGAATGTGTTTTGTGTTATTCTGTCTGAGCAGGTATTTGTGATAATAGATCTTGAGAAGATCTTTCCGACGCAACAAGAATCGCTTCAATCGGAGCAAGAACGCGAAAGCTATGAAGATTCAAAGTTCATGAGCTTGCGTTACAATTGCGGCGGTTACTAAGTGAAGTTGTGGGGTGACTTTATATGGAGTTGGGACCTTTGGGGTTGGGGAAACTTGTCACTCTACTGTAACAGCTGCAAATTGGTTGGGAACAACCAAGCTAGGTTGGCAAGGGTGGCCAACTTGGATGGATTGGTTGGGAAGGGACAAATGTCAAAGTTGGGGTTCCTATAGGGAGGGAATCTTTGTGCTTATGGGGTTTTCCTTGGTTGGGGACTCTCTTGGGACCTTCCCTCTCATCCCTCTCTTCCTATCCCAACCTTTCTCTTGCTCCTTCTAATTCCTTGTGAGATTCTTGAACTTTGATTGAACCTTTGAGATTGAGTTAAGTTCTCCTCCTACAGCTTACCCCCTAATGCGTCGAAAGCCATAGCGTCGCGAATACTTCATCAATCAACGTGATTCAAATTGGGAACGGTAGCTGAGATTAAGAGCTACAACATATCCAAGTTTCGCGACATTCCAACGGCTAGTTTTTCGTCGACGTCGTTTCTTGTAAAGACGACTTTTCTGTCCAGAATTTCGGATTTATATTTTGAGTAATTCTAGCTCCTAAGTTCACCTAGACTCCGTCCTTAATCCTAACACCTCCTTCAGCTGCACCAGGTGAAACCCTCAGATCCGCAAAAACTGTAACTCCTAAAATTTCGGGGACACTCCATCAGCACAGTGTAGTTCGCAGGTTCACCCCCCTTATTCAGCCAGAAGCCGTCGATTGATAAGTCAACACTGCTACCTGGTGGGAATGGTGATTTCCTGGCGAAGTAGCTGAGCGAGTAGCAGCCCGAACGCCGCTAACCCATCTGCTCCAGTACTCCTGTCTTTCATCCCCCACTGCTTCAGCTCCTGACAGTTAACGCATTTGGCGACCGGTGGAAAAACACTTAATACACACCCAGGGATGGTGGCCTCCGTTTCCGTTGATCGTGGGGGTATGAAGCGCTGGTCCACGAAAAACGCCTCCCTACACAGGAAGTCGCCCTCGCTGAGTACACTCACTCCAGCACCGCGGCATCACCTCTAGATGGTCGTCGTGGTGAATAGCGCCGAGGTTGTTAATCTCAGCTGCTCCCACACAACTGCACACCCACAGGTCCTCGTGCGATCGTGTCGTTCCGAAATTGTTGGATCCGCCCATTGCCGAAATAGTGTTGAAGTCTCGTCCATCGCCTGCAACTAAGCCTGCAAAAACGAATTCGGTATCGAATACGACATGGGAAATCTAGTATTTGTCGAATACTTGGTGTGTTTTGTATTTGATCGAATAGTGATGCCTATTCGAATACGAATACGGTTCGAATATGCCGGTTTCGGGACGAATACGGAATCGAATACGAGTAGGTGGTGATAACAGGTTTCTTGGGGTTTCCTTTTTTTATTCCCCACTACAGAACAAGATTCAAATGGGTCCTAACCTTGTTGCACTATTGTTCTATGGCCCAAATCATCACTTCTGGATTTCTTTTGAAGTGGGCGTTCTCTTGGCAGGTTGTTTAGGGTACATCATGGCACGCACAACAGACCCCTTTTTTCCCCTTACGATTGCTTGGTTTTGAGTAGTTGTGGATTGTTTGAAAATCATATCGAGCGTGTCTATGTAGATGTACTTGCTCTACATTTCAAAACGACTGTTGATTTGCTCTACATTTCAGTGAATTTTGGCCTGCTCGTCGCGGATTGGGTCGCGAAAGGGATGAACTAGCGGTGATGGTAACGGTGGCGGGAAAGAAGCCTTCCGCCTCTCACCAATTTCGCAAATCAACACCCGTGCTCAAGGTTTGATAAATCTGGGCTGAAAGTAGCGCCACGACAAACACCGCGCGGTGCGGGAAAATCGGGGTCAGGCGAAACAACCAGGGAATGCGGCAACAACAGCGCGAGAATCAAACTGCGACCTGCGATTGGTTGACGAAAGGGATTGGAACGAGGAACAGCCGAGAGAGCGCAGGACCAAGTCCAACTAACCAATCAGATGACTGCGCTTAGATGTCAACCGACTGGTCAAATCCCTCAACTTTCTTTCTCAGTTTTTACCGAATAGGGAGGAGCCAGGGAAATCTTCGTGGTTGAGAGACAAGGGCATGAATGAGTGGCGGGATCTAGCCAATGACATAGTGCCACATTCACTGAGAGGTAAACGAGAATCCACGGTTGTTGGGGGGGGTGGCGGGCTTGGGGTTGAAACTGAATGGAAGGGAATCATGAGGTCGCCCCCTAACGAATCTATCCCCCAATCCGTAGAGCTACGTCTGTCACACCAGGAGTCTGAGCAACATACAGTAACCGGCATGTGAAGATGCTGAGAGGAACAAGCTTGTCCCTCCTCAAAGCTTCGCCCACGACATGCTGCTTTCCCAGACCCGCCTCCCGCTTCCCGCCGCTGAAAGCGGCTTGCTGCGACGCTTGCCGCTTACCGCTTCAGAAATTCCCGCTTCCGCTGCATCTCGCCATTTTCCTCTCAGCTTCCCCTTACTTCCGGGCTTCTCCAAGGTTCCCGGGCGGAAGCTGTGAAGGAGCCGTCGCTGCAAGGGCAGAGCCGACGCTGAAATGAAATGGACCCGACGCTGAAAGGTAGGAGCCGACGCCCAAAGGAATGAGCCGACGCTGAAAGGTAGGAGCCGACGCCCAAAGGAATGAGCCGACGCTCAAAGGTAGGAGCCGACGCCCAAAGGAATGAGCCGACGCTCAAAGGTAGGAGCCGACGCCCAAAGGAATGAGCCGACGCTCAAAGGTAGGAGCCGACGCCGAAAGGGAGCAGACATAGTTGTTGATCTGTCTCTCATGCTCTCTCACTCTATCTCTGTCAATAAAATCTCTCTTCGCTTCAAATTCCCGGCGACCAGCCTCACGCTGCTTCCCGCATCCACTTTCCTGCTGAGTACGCTTCCCGCTACCTGCCACCCGTTTACCACGTCCTGCTGCTTCTCTGTCTTGTTGCTTCTCACGCTCACTCCTCATCTCTCTCGCTGCTTCCCCCTCTCTCTCACTGCTTCTCTCTCTCTCTCTGCTTTTCTCTCTCTCTCTCTCTCTCTCTCTCTCTCTCTCTCTCTCTCTCTCTCTCTCTCTCTCTCTCTCTCTCTCTCTCAGATTTTGTCTCTCTCTCTCTCTACTTCTCTCTCTCTCTCTCTCTCTCTCTCTCTCTCTCTCTCTCTCTCTCTCTCTCTCTCTCTCTCTCTCTCTCTCTCTCTGCCTCTCTCTCTCTGCCTCTCCCTCTCTGTCTCTCCCTCACTGTATCTCCGCTTTTGTCTCTCTCCCCCTCTGATTTTGTATCTCTCTCTCTCTGCTAACTTCTCTCGTTGCTCATTCAATTATTTCACTCACCCCTTCGGCAGGTGTTGGTGAGGAAGAAGCCTATGGCTTAGAGTGGAAAGGCATGAAATGTAGTTGCGGCATACACGGATTTAGCACTTCGTGAACACGAGTTGATGCAAAATCGTTGAACCTTTATTTGCATGATGTCAGAACCATATTCTCAGCGTCCCATGCGTTGGTTGTTAACTCCAGACGTAGCATTCATTATTGGGGTACACCAAACTGAAAACAGATGGGTGACAAATGCTAGAGTGAAAGTGACATGACCCTACGAGACACATCCTAATTAATGAGACGACCTCCCTACCTAGATCTAACTCGGGCTGTGAATTGGAGTTGCATCTAGAATTCTAGCTTGAAGCTATCACCTCTCAAAATCCTGCCACGACCTAACACACATGCACGCACGCACGGTGCTCGGGTTGAGGCTATGCCTAGAATCGGTAATCAAGTTTCCCGCCACGGAAAATGCCCTCTCCGAATCCGCGGAGGTGCCCGGTATGGCAAGATAATCGCGTGCCATACGTGCCAAGGTGGGATATGTCATTGCCTTGACACACCACCATTCCTTGAAGGAGAAAATGGCCCCCCTCCTCTTGATCCTCGGCTCACTAAAGTATGCCGAGAGCTCGCTCTTGCCGCCGTTAGGATCATCACCCCCTTCCTCTTCAAAAATGTCATCCAAGATAGAGGAGGTGACTCGAGCATCATCGGCCGAGGTGGCGGCACTAGAACTCGAGCCGTACTCCTCCATCACCCCTTCCTCTCGCTCATACTCGACATAGCGCTTCTTTACGACCTCTTCGACATTGTCCACACCGACGTGGCCGGCCCCTTTCCCCGCATAGTACCCCATGTTGAAGCGTGGATCGATCACCGTGGCCACGGTGTACTCCTCGGAAGACTTGTTGTAGTACTTTTTTAGCTTTGCAAGGCCTACCTTGCATGCACTGGCAAATTCCCCGTCGCCCTCAATGGCCTTATCCAACACGTCCATGAGCTTGTTTACAAACGGCATGCAAAATGACACCGTAGCATACTCATTGCCCTCCAAAATCTTTGTGACCTCGGCGAAGGGAGCAAGGAGGCTTTGGAGGGCATCGATGGATTTCCATTCGTCTTCCTTCATGCGGTAAAGACTCTCGGCTTCTTCGCCCTCCGCAACAAGAAACGTGTCGATTGCGGTTTTTAAGCGCTTCGCCTTACACATCATCTCGTATGCACTTGACCACCTTGTGGGAGTGTCCAATGCAAGAGATGCTTCCTTGCTCGTTTCAAGGCCCACGCATTTTGCCTCGAACTTCTCGCGTCGAAGGGTAGATCCGCCAATGTAATTGGCGAATCCCCGGATCTTTTCGAAAGCACGCTTAGGAGTGGGAGCCTTCGTGATTGCATCCACGGAAAGATTTATGACGTGCGCAAAGCAAAACATGTGCCTTTCCTTGTTGAAGTCGGTCTCCTCGTCGAGGAGCCGAAGGAAAGTGTCATTGTTTCTTGCATTGTCAGGGGTGATGGCCATCACTTTGTCACCAAGCCCCCAACGGCCGTGAACGGACTCAATGAATGCGTTTTTGATTGCCTCACCCGTGTGAGAACCTTTCATGTGGATGAAATCAAGCAATATTCTTTTGGTCTCGAAATCCTCATCGAGCCAATGTGCGGTGATTGCCATATAGGCCTTCATGTTGGGGGCCGTCCATATGTCACACGTAAACGAGATTTTTGATTGCACGCCTTGGAGCCGTGTCTTTATTTTTTCATACAACGAGTCATGGGCGTGATGCAAGTCGTTAGCCACCGTAGTTCGGCTTGGCATGACACACAAGTGGTTGAGCGATGTTGCCCATCCCTTTAGCTCGGGACACTCAATGCCACGGAAAGTGATGCTCCCCCTTGCAATGACACGGGTAATCCACATCCGGTTATTGGCATCGGAATAGGGGGGAATTCCTTTCATGGCTCTCCCAATGTCTTGGGTGCCCGCATCTTTGTTCCCACCATCAATCTCTCTCGTCACCCTCTTGTACTCCGTTTTGTGGTGGCTTTGGATGTGATTCGACATCCCACTTGTCGAACCCCCCGACCTTGAAATGAACACCGTTTTGTTTATCTTTTCACAAAGAAGGCACTTGGCATTTCCAGCCACGTCATTTTTCTCAAAGAATTGCCACCACTTTGAAGTTGTCGCTTTCCCTTTTTTGTTGTCTCGAGTGGCTTCCTCCGAATTTGGGTCAGCTCCACGTTTGAGAGGGTTGTTAGAGGAGTCTTGAACTTCGCCCACAGCATTCAACGGCGGCACTTCGCCGTTCTCGCTTGTCAGCGACACATTTCGGTGACTAGTGGAAGCCATGCTAAACACAACAATTGTCTCTGCACCAACTGCTTGGAGTTCGTATGAACCGTCTAAGCTTTCTAAAATACTACTGTCGCACGTCCTGATGCTGTTATGCGAGTTTAGGCTGGAGGAAACGGCTAGAGTACTCTCTGGAATACGATGGACCACTAAAAGGGCTCTCTGGAGATAATGCTGAACGTCTCTGGAATCACTATCGAATGCTCTCTGGTTCCGGATTTGAGTTGGAAATGTGTTTTGGGCTCTGTTGAGGAGTCGAGGTCGGGTCTACAATGTAAGTCACCTGGTTGGTCCACAAGCCGGGTCGCTAAACCCAAACTTGGATTTACGGATTTGACAAACGGGCAGCTGTCGGTGGATTCCGCGCGTGAACTCCCCACGGTTTCTAATGCGGAAAGGCACGAATCTGGTTACTCTAAAACTGTAGGCTTCGTACACTGAAGCCGTGGGAAAGAACCGTGTCACGTGGTTGGGGTGTTGGAATTGCGAAACACTTAACCTGGTAAATGTGCGCAAAGTTTGGTTTTCTACACACGTTCCCGGACCACAAATCTCAAACGACAGGAGATTGTTACGACTGTGACAGGGACAATCGTGTGTGGCGAGAGTGACGTGGAGAACTGCGCATCATACGTGGTATTCCAAGTCCGAGGATTCGCTAGGAAAGAGGTGTGATGAGGCGTCGCAGAAACATGTCAGGACGCTCGTGCGGGAAAGATTTGGCGTGCAGCCAAACAGAAACGCTTTCGATTGACCTAGTGCTTCACTATAGACACAAACTGTAATGAACTGCAACAGAATACAGTACATGCCTAGTCGAGAGCCCTAGTTTGTTAGCAAGAAGTGTACATCTACTTGATACGCGCCTGCCAGTTCCCTACGCGTGGAAAAAAAACCTGACCACACCCCATCCACTCCCCCAACATCCTCTCCAGCTCGTTAGGTATCTCCTATTCCCGTCCCGTCGCCCCACTCCACTCGAACAGTACGTCATCGTCCTGGATTGTAGGGTACAGGTTGGGCGTAGTTCCGCAGTTAGCGCCACCTTCCGTGCAAAAAAAACCGCCAGAACGCGCGCTGCGGCGCGGTTCATCTGCCGCTGCCGATGTCTCCGCGCCCTTTCGATCCTGACAGAGAAAGGGAGTGGGAAGGATATAGGGTAGGCATAGGAGGTCGACTATTCGGTATTCGAGCTCGAATACCGAATATTTGACCAGCGAATATTTGAATTCGCATGGTATTCGACAAACGAATACTTCCGAATAGCCATGGAAAGTCAGATTCGTTTCGTATTCGATATTCGTCGAATACCGAATACGAATGCAAAACCAATGGTATTCGTTTGCAGGCTTACCTGCAACTAGCCTGCCGGAAACGCCGGGACCCGCGACATAGCTACAGTTTACCCTGCCGCTGCATGGCATGCTAGACGTACATCGCTGTACATCCCGTCATTTTCGTCACCCTGCGCGCTCCTGACGACCAACTCCCAGCCGCCTGAGGACTCCCGTGCACTTGTCTTCTCCTAACGAAGCCTTCGCCTTTTTACGGGAGCCAATCCGAAGACTCCGTCCGAAAACCTGAAAATTACGAAAGCTCTAACGAACATACCCGAAAAACACTGCGAGAACGTCTCCATCTCTTCGACGGGAAATAATTCCGTCTACGACCAAGGAAGGGGAGGACCGGCCAATTCCAGCTGTCCATCGGACAGGATCTGACGGCATCGGCAACGCCTGCGCAATTAATTTCCGCGATGTCCCCTCGCCATCAGCATCCTTCCGCCCTCTTCCCCGATAGGATCTGCTCCCCTAACGGAAGCCTAATGGGCACGAACGTAGCTCTGATACCAGCTGTTATAAATTATAACTTAGAGTATAGCTCAGAATACTATAGGGGAACGTGATTACAATGTGACGATAGAAATGAGGCCTATGGCTTATATAATGCGAGTTGACCAGGTTGAATTGTCGAAGGTTGGACCAGTCTAGGGCTCGACAGTCCCGAGGGTGACGGGGTCAAAATGCGTTCGGGGCGACTCGGGATCATGTTGGGTTCGAAAAGGTTGACGGGGGCTGGTTTGGCGCGAGCACCAATGGCCTAGCCTGCGGACGCGCACTGTTCGCGGTACTCGCTGTGGCGAGCCCCAGTAAGGAATCGTAATTCCTTACACATGGGCACTATCCCACCCAACCAACCAAACATTGTCCCTCCCTCATCAACAGCACATGGAGCATGCTTGATTTATATTATTCGAACCTGTGTAAAGTCGGGGAGAAAGAGGCAGCCTATAACGCGCTCATGGGTCTTCTCTGGAACCCAGAACCACTCGACCGGAATGCCCGCACTCTGCCTCCTATTTGCGCAAGCAGTGTGGCAGGCAGCTCATAGATGACTCGCCGCGTGTTGCGAACCACCGCCCGTCCGCCCTTGGTAGCACTGCCACTCCCTCCACTGTTGCTGCACTGACCTGACCACTTCCAACCCGCTCGCCCTCTGCTGCGCTGCCCCCTCTCCTCAGCTCACCCCCTGCCGCTGCGTCCGCGACCCCCCTTTCCGCGCGCCATGCCGCCACCGCCCGACATCAAGGTGCCCGGGGATCGCGTGGGCGTCGTGGCGGAGCTGGTGGCGGGTCCCGGCACGTTCGTGCGCGGGCCATTCGTGTACGCCAGCACCACGGGCGCCGTCACCGTCGCGCCCGGTGACCCTGTGAGCGGCCACGTGCCTCCATGCACCTGTCTAGGCTCTCACTGTCCGCTTCCCCCACGCCGCCGCGCATTCGTGCTCTCTTTCCGTCAATCTCTCTGCTCGATCCCTCGCCCGCTGCCCCTTCCCCCTACCCCTTCCCCCTACCCTTTCCCCCTGCCCCTTCACCCTACCACTTCCCCCTACCCCTTCCCTCTCCCCGTACCCCTCCCCCCCCCAGCTGCCTACAGTGTCGGTTCAGCGCGCGGGGCAGCAAGCCGCCATTCCCAGCGTCGGTGTCACTGTTATCGCTAAGGTGGGGGGCGACGGCAGGGGAAGGGCGCACATGGGCGGGACTCTGGTGCTGGCGCATGGATGGGGATGGAGGGGGGGGGAGAGGGAACTTCGCTGGCGCAGGAATGGATGTGGCATTTCCGGAAATGGATGTTTGCGCGCACGTACACGCACTTTGCTGTACCTACATGCTTTCTTCCTCATGGCTCCCAGGTTCGATTCGCCCTATCCGCCCATCCCTTGCTCTCTGCGCATAGGTGTCGCGGGTGACGCCACGCGCGGCCATGGCGGACATAGTGTGCGTTGGCGCACACGCCGTCACAGACAAGTTCTCAGGCATCGTCAGGTGGGCGTGCTGCCACGTGGGCCAAGGGCTTGCTTCGCGCCCCTCGTTCGCTCCTCTCTCTCTCTCTCTCTCTCTCTCTCTCTCTCTCTCTCTCTCTCTCTCTCTCTCTCTCTCTCTCCCCCCCCCCCCCCCCCCTCTCTCTCTCTCTCTCTCTTGTAGCGTGCTGTGTGACACGTGTGTGTGGCGTGCACTAAGTGCCTGCATGGCATGTGTGGGTGGCAGGCAGCAGGACGTGCGGGCCACTGAGATCGACAAGGTGGACCTCCTCGCCTCCTTTCGCCCTGGCGACCTAATTCGAGCACAAGTCGTATGCCACCCCCCTTACCATGCACACCCCTCTCACCACACGCACGCCGTCCTCGTCCTGCACTTATACCACAGCCCGCCCTATCCCATTCCCATCCTCCTCTCCCATCCGTGCATAATGTCTAATGTTTGTCATTTCTTCTTGCCCTCGACTTATATTCTGGCCCCCCAGTCTGACGGTATGTCCTCTTCCTGTCGTGCCGTGCCAGCTCTCGCTAGGAGACTCCCGTGCCTATTTCTTGTCAACAGCCAAGAATGATCTGGGGGTCATACTGGCCAAAGGGGTCGCAGGTTAGTGCTGTGCGCCTGCCATTTCTACTGTCAGTGTGCTTTTACCTCCCACATGCAGCCTCCCTTGGTTCTTCAGTCCTCGCCTCAATGTGGTGTGAGGTGAAGCATTTCCTACATTTTTTTACCCTGTTGGATTGCCTTTGGACCACAGGAGTGCCCATGGTGCCTATAAGTTGGCAGGAGATGCGATGCCCCATCACAGATCAAGTGGAGAATAGAAAAGTGGCTAAGGTTGCATGATGAAACCTTTCGTACATAAACCAAACGATTTTTCCACCTTGTTGGAATCCTCTCACCAATGATGTATGTTATTGTAATATACACTGCTGCCGAGCACCATACTCAACCGAACCTCATCTTACTGGTTCACACCTAAAGCCCCGGTTTTCTCGCATCACCTTTCTTGAACATTTTTTTCGAACATGCCTTTTTGTCGACCTAGGCTCGCACAGCAGCTTCGCGAGATTTCGCGAAGGGCGATCAAATGGAGAACTGCAAATCAAACATGTGCCGAACATCGGCAGGTGAGAGCCAAATTGCAGGAACTGTTGTACTCGCTGCTGTAACATTTTCCGTGTACTGTCACGCCTAGGCAAATCGCGAAGTCCTGACGAGATTTGCGAAAACGGTTACAGTCGCAGTTTCTTGTGTGTTGATTCGTGTTTAAAAAAACAAATGTTATACATACCCTTAGGGCCTGTTGATGAGTCATTTCTGCGTCGAGCTGACCTCAAAGCCGCCATAGATTCTGACCTCCACGTGAGACGTAGTTGCCGTCAGCACGGCCCGTGTAGCCACCAACCCCTAAGCCCTCACTAGATCAGCAATCGCCACCAGATCGGACCCTTGCAGTTCGGCGTTCTAGTAAGCTAGCAGATCTTCCCACGGATTTAGTTTCCACCGTAACGGAGCACTGCTGCTGAGCACGTCTCGTTGTAATCACACCATGACGGACGCTGCTGGTTCGGTCGTTCCACGTCATCTTCTCTCCATAACCATCTGCGCGGCGGCTGCTGGTTTCATCGCGGCCGCGGCTCTGACGTACTACTACCGCCAGCGGCGGCAACGGCGCGAGCAGCGGGCGACAGACGGCGACGACGAGGCGGATGCAGCGGTCCCGTTGATCGCGGGCAACGCCGCCGCCGAGCCGGATCCCACGCCTGCCGAGGCGGCGCCTCCGGGTGGTGAGGTGGCGGGCGGGGGTGCGGTCGCGGAGCGCGCAGGCGAAGCGTCAGTGGCGGGGAAGGCGAGCGCGGGCGGCGAGGGCGAGGGGGAGCGCGGCGTGCTGGTGGTGTACTGCAGCCAGACGGGCACGGCGCGACGACTGGCGGGCGCGCTGGTGGACGAACTGACGCGCGACGGCGTCGCATGCCAGGTGCGCCTGCTCGGCGGGCCGCGTGCTTCTCCCGCGTGCCTCCGTTCCCGCGCGCCGGCCTTGTGTGCCGCTGGTGCCTCTCTCCCTGTTACGACTTCGCCCCGATTGCACGTGCGCTCTTCTCCTCCCTCCGCGTCAGACCTTTTCTATTTCTACCCCCCTTCCCTCCACGCCCAAACAACGTCCCTTTTCCCTCCCCTTCCCTTCTTTCTTCACCCCCCCACCCCCACCCCCACCCCCAACCCCAACCCCACCCCCACCCCCAAACCCCCCCCGCCCCCCCCGGCCCCCAGTTGCAAGACCCCGTGCTGTACGAGCCCGAGGATCTTCCCAAGGAGCGCGCTCTGCTGCTCGTGGCGTCCACGTGGCAGCACGGCTCGCCGCCCGACCACGCCGCCTTCTTCCTGCGCTGGCTGCACGAGAGCGCCTCCGACTTCCGCGTCGGCGCCGCGCTCCTCGCGCCGCTGCGCTTCGGCGTCTTTGGGCTCGGGAGCTCCGCGTACGACGAGGCGGAGGGGGGAGAAGAGGGGGGATCGGGTGAAGGAGGGGAAGGGCAAGGGGAGAAGGCGGAAGGGGAGGGGTGTTGTAACGGAGGAATCGGTGATCGCGGGAGTGAGGGTGGGCGGTGCGGGGAAGGGAGCGCTGTGTGCTGTAAAGAGGAGATTAAGGGGGGAAATTCAAGGGGAGACGCGGGCGGAGGGAAAGCGGGGGAGGGTTGTGAGTGCAGCGCGAGCGGCGGCAGCAGGGGCGGGCGGTATTACAACGCGGTGGCGCGCGCAGCAGACGCGGATCTAGCGGCGCTGGGGGCGTGGAGGCTGGCGCGCATGGGGGAGTACGATGAGGCGGAGGGGGATGACGTGGACAGTGTGTTCCGCGACTGGGTCCACGCTGTCAAGGCCGCATTGGCTGCTGCGAAGGGTGCTGCGGGCGCTACTGGGGAGGGCGGATCGGGTGAACGGGAGACCGCGAAAACTGGCGCGGAGGGGGAAGAGGAGGAGGAGGAGGAGGAAGATGAGGAGTACGAGGATTACGAGGAGGAGGAGGACGAGGAGGAGGGGGGGCGCGTGGAGCCGGAGGGGTTCGTGGACTTGGAGGACATGGCGGGGCGCCACGCGGACAGCCTGGGCGCCTGGGACTTTGTGGGCGAGGGCGCGGGGGGGGACGGCGCGGGGGGGGACGGCGCGGGGGACACAGCGGGGCGGGGGGAGGGCAGTGGCGGAAGGAATGGGGCGGGGGAAGGGGAGCAGGGGACGGGGTGGTGCGGCAGGGCGGCGTGTACACAGGCCCCGCGGGGGTGAAGAAGAAGTGGTTCGTGCGCAGTGGGAAGAAGGGCAAGGGGGAGGGCGCGGGGAGGGGTGGGCGGGGGAAGAGCGGGGGGACAGGCGGGGCAGGAGGTGGGAGTGGGGCGGCGGCGGCGGCGGAGGGTCCGAGGGAGATGGTGACGCCCGTGCTGCGCGCTAACCTGGAGAAACAGGTGCGCGCAGGGCGAGGGGGGGCGGGGAAGAGGCGGAGAGGCAGAGAGGGGGTTAGGGGAGGGAAGGCGGGAATGTGGGGAGCGCAGGGGCAATGGTAGAGAAACACTGCAGGAGTGAGGAGTAGCAAGCACAAGGACGAGGTGGCAGACATGCGTTGCCCCACTCGCAGTGTCCACTACTTGTCACACCTCTGCTCCTCTTGTTGTCCTCTGCGCCACCGCCTACCTCACACCTCCCTCCCCCTCCCCCCCTTCCCCCTTCCCCCGAAAGGCATTAAACTCTGAACCTGTTCCCTGTGTCCGGCCTTGTGGCCCCCCTGTTGCGAGAGCAGGGCTACCGCGTGCTGGGGTCGCACAGCGGCGTGAAGGTGTGCCGGTGGACCAAGGCGCAGCTGAGAGGGCGAGGCGGCTGCTACAAGCACTCCTTCTACGGCATCCAGAGCCACCTGTCCGTGCTGCCACGCACTGCACACGCACACACCGCACATACGCGTGCACACACACACACACACACGCAAAGGGCGCCACCTGTAGGCCCATGCGCGGATAGGAGTAGAAAGAGGAAGGGGGGGGGGTGGAGGGGGAGGTGGGGGCTATGTGCTGCAGTGTGTAACGACTGAGACAGGCACATGGCGCCCTCGCCTTGTTCATCGTGTGGTGCTGTTCGTTGTTACCACAGGGTGCTGCCACCCACTGCGTGCTGCCACCCACTGCGTGCTGCCACCCACTGCGTGCTGCCACCCACTGCGTGCTGCCACGCCCCATTTCCCTCGTTCTGCCGCGTGTTGCACATCCCGGTGTTCGTTTTGGGGGGCGTGATTGCGTGTGATTGTGTGTGGGTGGGTGTGATTGCTTGTGAGTGCGTGGGTGTGGCGGTGCGGCCACCAGGTGCATGGAGGCGACGCCCAGTCTGGCGTGTGCCAACAAGTGCGTCTTCTGCTGGCGCCACCACACCAACCCCGTTGGCAAATCCTGGCGCTGGAAGGTCAGACCTCACACCTCACTCGCCCTCTCGCGCAATCACCCCCCACGCCGATCCCCTCCCCCTCCCCATTCCCCCACCTTTTCCCCCCCCCGGACGCACACATGCATGATGCACATGATTGCAAACAGAGGTGAGAGAGGGCGGTTGATGAGTTACGTCAGGTGGTGGAAAATTGGGAGGGGGGAGGGAGGCGAGTGCTGTGCAGGGAGTGGGAGGACGCATGGTATGCTGTGCACCAGCTGGCTCATGGCGTCTGCTCCCCATTGGATCCAGCACCTCCCCACGTCTGCACTTGCTGCATGCCTGTCTGTGTGCACGTGTGTCTTGTGCGAATGTGTGTGTGTCTGTGCATGTGTGCTCATGTGTGAGCCGGCAGGTGGATGAGCCGGAGGACATAGTGGAGGGGGCACTGGCAGGCCACGTTCAGATGATCCGACAGATGAAGGGTGTGCCAGGTGCGCTCCATGCCATGCCATGGCGCTCCATGCCATGCCATGCTGTGCCATGATCCTTCATCCCATGTCACACGTGGTGCATCACATGCTTCCCATCAGCAGCCACACGGCTCCACATGCCTTACCTCCTTCCCTGGTTGCCCCCCTGCTCCTTGCCCGCATCATTCAGTCCCCACCCAACCCCCTCTCGCTCTCACCCCTCCCTACACTTCCCTCAATCCCACCACTCTCCCCTCCCCTCCTCCCCCCTCCAGGCGTGAAGCCGGAGCGGTTAGCAGAGGCGATGAGCCCGCGGCACTGTGCGCTGTCGCTGGTGGGCGAGCCCATCATGTACCCGCACATCAACCGCCTGCTCGCCCTGCTGCACTCGCGCCGCATCTCCTCCTTCCTCGTCACCAACGCGCAGTTCCCTGACAAAATCACCGACCTGCACCCCGTCACCCAGGTGCTGCTCGCCGCTGCTCGCCTCTGCACTGTGCATGTCTCATAGCACTCTTTCCTCGTCACCCCTCTACCGCTTCTTGGTTTAGAACCTTGCAGCAGCTATACCTGGCCTCTCCACCCCCTTCTCCTCATCCCTCTTCCTGTTTTTCCCTCTGTCTCTCTTGTTTCCCACTCTCCTACCTGCTCTCTCCCCCATTTCGCTCTATATCCCTTCCCCCCTTTGCCCCCTCCCCCCCCTTGTCCCTGTCTCCCCTCCTCCCCTCCCCCCCTCCCCTTACCCCCCCCCAGCTGTACGTGAGTGTGGATGCGGGCACCAAGGAGTCACTCAAGGCCATCGACCGCCCGCTCTTCGGGGACTTCTGGGAGCGATTCACGGTGAGCCACCCTGCTCCCTCGCTGCTCTGCGCATGCGCGCTTGTACGCCTGTGAGTGTGAGGCTGTGAGCGCCAAGACCAGCCTCAGCCTCGCCATCCGCCTTCCCTTTCTTCTTGGAGTGTGGCCAGAGTAGTGCACCACTGCTGTCTAGCTCCCGGCCCGCTCGCATGTTGTTGTCTGCCTCACCCCAGCCACACAGTGGCACTGCCGCTGCTCCACTTGCCTGCATGGCTTTCACTGGCGCGTCCAGAAAAGGGTGTTGCATGGCAGCCCGTACCACTTCCCCAGTGAACACTGCGTGCATGGCACCTTTGTGCGTGTGTGTGCATGTGCGTTCATCGCTCCTGTGTGTGCGGTGCAGGCATCGTTGTCCGCGCTGCACAGCAAGCAGCAACGCACGGTGTACCGGCTGACGCTGGTGAAGGGGTGGAACACGGACGAGCTGCTGGCGTATGCACAGCTGCTCAAGCTGGGGCAGCCGGACTTCATTGAAATCAAAGGCGTCACCTACTGTGGCAGGTACAGGCTGCCCCACGCATGTGCTGCTGGGGCAGGCATGTTCTGGGGCAGGCGCGTGCTGGATGGGACAGGCACGTTCGACGTCTGGGATTTTGCTTCCCTACATTTCAAGGCTCGGTCCCGTCGGCGTCTTCTATCCTCCTCTGTTCCCATCTCTCTCCTCCTCCCCCTCACCTCTCCCCTCTCACCTCTCCCCTCTCCCCTCTCCCCTCTTCCCTCTCCTCTCTCCCCTCGCCCTCGCCCTCGCCCTCGCCCTCCCCCGCGCCCCCATCAGCACGGGAGCGTCGTCTCTGACGATGCAGAATGTGCCGTACCACGAGGACGTGCGGCAGTTTGCAGCAGCGCTGGCGCGCGCGGCAGGCGAGGCGGGTGCGGGGGAGTATGAGCTGGCGTGTGAGCACGAGCACTCGTGCTGCGTGCTGCTGGCGCAGACCAGCAAGTTCAAGGCGCCCGACGGCACGTGGCACACATGGATCGACTATGACAAATTCCACCAGCTGGTGCGTGGGGGGGGGGGGGGGGGGAGAGGGGGATGGGGGGAATGGGGGGGGGGAGGTGGAGGAGGAACAGAGAGGGGGTTGGCAGCACAGTCAAGGTGGTCCACCTGTGAATTATTTTCTTGTAATCTTATCGATCCCTCTAGTCACACTGTACCCACCCCCCCCCTCCAAACTCTACCCTCGTTGCCCCTGTGCCCTAGGTGGCGAGTGGGCAGCCTTTCAGCAGCAGCGACTACACGGCCCCCACGCCGCCCTGGGCCGTGTACGGCGCCAAGGAGGCGGGGTTCGACCCGCAGGAGACGCGCGTGCGCAGGGAGAAGAAGGCAGGCACACAGTGAGGGGCATGAGGATTGGAGGGGTTGAATAGCAAGGGGGGCGGGGGGAGGGAGAGGGGTGAGAAGTTGTGTGGAGTGCGTTATGCTTGATGGGTTACTCATTACGTTGTACTGCCATGAGTTACTCATTCATTTGCTGTAGTGGGAAATGCATATACCGGTACCAGTTCTGTCTGCTAACTCACTGCATCTGAATTTGCTAGCCACAGGCTCTCTGCATTCTGCAGTTAGGCTCACGTCACATAGCACAGGTCTCAACCTTGGGGTAGACAACTCAATGGCAAACCAGCCAGCCAGTTGCACATAGGGTAAGCAACTCAATGAAAGATCTCTGATGATGGCAAGCCGGCCAGCCAGCCATCCCCATGTGCGCAACACACCCACATGAGTACGACAGGTCACAGGAGCATGCCAGGCCATACAACCACTGCATGGCCACTGAACGCCCTCAGCCGCCCCTGCCTTCACCCAGTGAGCCAATCCCCAAATCCACCAACTTCGGTCACATAGGGTGAGCCTACAAGTCCATTCTGTACTCAGGCGATTCGGATGAACTGACGATAAAGAGTATCCAAATGCACATAAATATGGCTAATACAACATATTAGAACAATCGCGGATGTGCACATGGCAGTATTCTAAGCTAGACGCCTGCTCCACCTCCAAGCAAGACACTCGGCGGCGGAGCACAACCTCGACACACAGCACGCCCAACTGGTCAACACCAGCGCGACGGCCGTCCCTTATTGGATGCCAAGGCACCGCGCAGCAACGCAACTAGTCTAACCAGCGTATCTGATCGTCGGGACTCGGGACGTATGTGGGCCTCCTTGAAAACACTCGCAATTTCGCGTCGCTCCGCCACGCGAATTCAGTTCAGCTGCCACCTGTCACGCCATTCCCAGGGGCCTCAGCAATTCCTGCAGCGCCCGAAACGAGGCACCCAGGCTCCCCTCTTGCGCCTCGTCGCGTGCCGTCGAGTCGTCGCCTGTGCTCCCCGCCCCGAGTGTCGACCGGCGGTGATTTGGCGAAACCGCGGCCGAGTCGACTACATCGGACGAATGCACGGCTCCGTCCAGCAATCGTCGATCCGCTTTGAATGACGACGGGTGCAGAGTCGAGGAGATGGAGAGATGCGACGAGGAATGCACAACCGATGGCGACAATTCAACGTCTGAAACGTACGAGATAGAACGGCACAGGTCAGCGACTGCCAACAGCCCCTCAAAATGGGGCGACGAGCAACTCTCAACTCCCACTACTAAGAAACCCAATTCCTGCTCAGCGAGCGGCGGCGGCGGCTCAGAGGAATAGTAGCTCAATTACCTTTCTGGAAGGTCCAGAGGACCGCCATCGAGAGCATGAGGACGACAGGAATCAAATGCACCAATCGCTCCGCGCCACGACCGCGCGCTCCTGCAGCCTCGTGGCCTCCGTCCTGCCCCTCTGCGGCGGCGCCCGCTGGACAGACATCAACAGCGATGCTACGGGAAGCTGGACAGTCGGATTGCGTCGAGCAGGCTTCTGATGCCATGTCGATGAAGTCACCGAGCTAACGGCAGCGCGTCGAGGATGACTCGCGGAATCGCACAGTTGTCGATACCACAAATTACGTACCGAAAGCGACTACTCGAGTGCTTAGCAGATCGGCAATGGATGAGGTGGGAAAGAAAAGAAGATGGCAAGGCTGATTGGATTTGTGTCCAGCCAGTTGTGAAACTGTGCCATGGCTGCCTTTGTACGCTGCTCAAGCTACACAACATCAGGACCATGCGTGGGGTGGGGCGGGGTGTGCATCACCCAAGCGACAACTGTTGCATGGCTGAAACTGCCCGATCTTGCAAATCCAAACCGCGGTGCGGGTGTAGAGGGGGGAGCCAGACCGCGATTCTAGCCCCTCCCCCCTCCGACCACTCCTCATCGCCCCGCCAGCTGCGACTCGTCGCGGCGGCAGCGCCTCCAGAGCGATCCGGGTGTGAGTCAAGAACATGTGCGATTATTGATACGACTCGACACGACGAAAGGCTTCAGTTTGGGAGCATGACGAGTGTCGCAGGGTGCCACGGCAGCAAGAGGACGAACTCAATACCACATGTGGCGAACATGCGATTTTCATCTGGAACGTGCGACGACAGCTCTCCAGTAACTGTGACGTAAGCGCAACGTCGTATACCAATGGTCGGTTACTGTCGGCGACAGCCACGAAACTGTAAATGGCCAGGCACGCGGATAAGCTGAGATGCAATATCGCTTTCTTTAAAAGCACGAGGGTGAACTGATGAAAGTGAAGCGTGCAAAAGGAGGGGAGAAAACACGCAAAGTTTTGCTGCTAAAGGGACTGCAATTGTACGTGATGAAGTTTGTATTGCCACTTTCACTCTTACGAGTCTTTTCGTAGGGCGTACAACACTGAACAGACACGTGCCATGACGGGAGGAATCAGGGAGTCATACGGCTGTGCATGGAGTCCCAGAAGGGCGAAATGCAGTAGCTTTTGTCGAGGCGGCGCGGCTTGTCCGAGGCATGCGGAATTTACCAGTGCCTGGAGAGGGGAATGCCAATTCCCGAGTGCTAGTTCTCTACGGTCGCCATGGTTTAAATAGTACATGTTATGTCGTGTTTTCCTATCACGCTGTCCAATTCCCTCTGTTCCCCTCCTTCAGCTCATCAGTTTAGCTATTCTTCGTGCGACGTCATGGCCTCACACCAGCAGGTAGAAGCCACCTTACCTCTGAGCCGTCGACGTTTGATTTGCCTTTTTCGCGTATCTAAGCCCTGTACTTGATTTCTCTCCGCGCTGGTGAACGCTCCTGTAACGACTTATTGTTGTTTGAGTCTGTTTGACAGAAAGCGACCGGTCACGCCCAGGAGGCCGGTGGAAAGCTTGGCGCGAGCGCTGAGGAAGCTCGCAAGGCGACGCAGGCCAAGATGGAGCAGGGCAGGGAGGGTCTCTCGGAAACCGGCCAGCAGATGAAAGATACCTCGGCACGCGCAGCCGAGGCGACGCGTGCGAAATCCGCGCAAGCTGGTGATGTGTCGGGGCAGAAGATGGAGGAGGCTAAGCAGAGTGCGTCTGAAGGCCTTGGTCGTGCGCAGGAGAGCGCACAGAAAACTTGGGATCAGACCAAGGAGAGCACTGCTGAGGCCACTGAGCAAGCGAAGCAGATGGGACGCGACACAGCTCAGAGGACGCAGGAAGCAGCGCAGGGCACTGTTGATAAGAGCAAGGAGATGGCTAGCCGCGCTGCTGAGTCTACCCAGGAGACAGGGAAAAGTGCAGCTGAGCAGGCACGGGTGGCCGCTGAAGAGGCAGCTAAACAAACCAGGGAGACTGCTCAGGCTGCTCAGCAGTCGGTGGCAGATACTGTGAAGGTTGGTGTCCTATTTACAAGCAACTGTTGGATGTTGGTTGTGGCACTGACAATTTTTTGTGGTGTTGCAGGGGATGGGAGAGCGCCTGACTGAAATGGCTCAGTCTGCGAAGGAGGCCCTGGGCCTGCAGGGTGAGCAGGCACCACCAGCAGCGACTGAGGTCACCACTGATGTCCCCTCGGTTAGGGGCAAGGAGCTGTGAACGGATCAGGGTACTCAGTTTATGAGGGGGCATCAATGGATGTGTCTAGCTCCATAGCGATGTGGACCTAGGATGTCCATGGATATGTACTACAGGTTGGCAGCCACTAGCCGTGAGGCTGGTTCTGTTTGTACATTTTCTTATGCAATCATATGAATTCAAATTTGTACTAACACTCCATCTAGAAATGAGAAAGTTTAGACAGGGAAAGGTATTAGAGAATTTCTCCATGGTTAGATAAACTACGAGCAATCGTTTCCAATTTTCACACTCACAAGCTTGTCCCGAGGATATTTTACTGCTGTTGTCTCTGATATTGTCCGCAGATTACGGTGTCCTAGGTGGAAGTTGGCAGCATCGCGATTACCAACCAGATTGGTGCGGCGTTCGTGTGCCGTGTCATTTTCCGGGAGTCACACGGCAACATCTCTGGGAGATGTTGGAGTTTGTGCTGATGTGGCATTGAGAAGCATTCGAGGTTATCCGTTACACCCCATCAACACCATCATGCAGCAGCTGGTTGGTGGGCGTCCCCGAACCTCGGGTGATTTTTCTCCCCTGAGCGACCTGCCAGCCACCTCCAAGTTGAGCCCAGAGGTCACCTCCATTTTCGCTGGCACCGCAAGCCCCGAGGGGCCAGCTCTTGCAGCACCTCAGCAATGCGCGGCGGCACTGTGCTGCAATTCTCCAAGCCTCGGGTTTTGCGGGCCCAAGCCAAGTTCAAACCGAGCCTGGCCCCCGAGCGAAATCCCTTGCTACTTCCGGACCCACGCCCAAACGTAAGGCCCGGGACTGCAGCACAAATGGTCTGACTGGTTTGGACTGGTGCTGGTGGGGGATGAGGGTGAGGGGGATGGGGGAGCCAGATCCCTCCACGGGGAAACGCCTATCAGCTTGACTGACTGAAGCGTGATGGCCTAGATATTGGTGGAGTGCTTGCCATGAAATCACATTTTGTGTGGAATCATCCATTATTTTCCTGCTGTTGTGACACGACCCGTGTATTCTGAGGTCTCAACAGTCGCCAGATTTGCCTCCTGGGCTTGTCGGCGGAGGTAGTCAGCCATGGCGGACACTGCTGTGAAGCGGTCCGAGGAAGAAAGTAACCTGCTTGATTTTGACACCGCAGCAGTCGCTGCTGTTACGACGGAGGAGGGCGTTATTGAGCCGCTTCCCGATTTCGTGGAGAAGGCGTTGATTAATTCGCGGGGCGTGTATGACTCCATGTACAAGCGGTCGTTGGACGAGCCCGAGGCCTTCTGGTCCGAAGTCGCGAGTCACTTCCACTGGAACAAGAAATGGGAGGTGCGAATTTTGACTTGCACAAAACTTGTGTTCTGTTATTGTACCTGCATTATCCATCCGGCACTGGCCGATTCCTTTTGCACGAAATCCTTCATTATAATTCGAAGTCGGTAGCTTGCTCGGCTCTCAGTCTATGTCATCCAGGTAATGGCCTTGTCGTCTGTCTGCCTTCATTTCAGTCTGCCATCTGAAGCAGGGCCTGCATCTGCCTTGCGTCTGCCTCTTATTTCTCCATCTGCCGCTGCATTCCATGCCTGACGACAGACATTCCACTCGTACAATTTCGACACGCGCAAGGGTCCGGTCGACATCAAGTGGTTCGTGGGCGGCGAGACGAACCTGTGCTACAATGCCGTGGACCGCCACGTGGCGGCCGGCAAGGGCAACAAGGTGGCCCTGATTTGGGAAGGCAACGACCTTGGCGTGCAGGGCCAGTGGACGTACTCCCAGCTGCTGTCGCAGGTGAGTCAGGGACCGAGGGGGAGAGGGAACCTAGAAATCACGGAAAGAGCGAAGATTGGCTAAGAGGGCTGAGTTTTCAGGCGAGGGGATGGTGACGAACGGGAGGGAGTTCGTGAGTGGAGAAGAAGGGGGAACTTGAACCGTGCGTTATACACTTATCATTGGTTTCAGCCTTAATGGAGACGGAGCGGAAGTTCCGTGGCATTGCATTCGTGAATACTGAATAATGGTTTTGTTGTCGGTGGGTACGCGTTGCTGGTGAGCTCTTGTTACCATCAATGGTGATTACAACAATTAGCTTAGTCGTTTCCCTTGCGCATTGCTATGGCATCAGGTGTGCAAGATCGCTAACTACCTGAAGAGCGTGGGAGTCAAGCGCGGCGACACCGTCAGCATCTATCTCCCTATGGTGCCGGAGCTGCCAGCAGGTACCCCCGCCCTCCCATTCCTCGCCCCCTCTTAGATCCTTCACATCCCCTCGTTTACATCTGGCTAAGAGCTGTTTTTCGCGGCGCACATTGATTCCGTCTGCTCGACGATAGATTTCAAAATTATTGTGGCTCCTAGACCTTTCGGCCTCTCACTCCGACGATTTCCCCTGCTGCATCCGCTAGTGTCACATCTTCTGGTAATGTCAACCAATCACTCCCACCTTCCGCTGCATCTCTTCCCCTTCCCCTTGCGCTCCCCCGTCCGCGTCCCCAGCGATGCTGGCGTGCGCGCGCATAGGCGCGGTGCACTCGGTGGTGTTCGCGGGGTTCAGCGCGGAGTCGCTAGCGGGGCGCCTGGTGGACTCGAGCAGCAGGGTGGTGCTCACCGCCACCGCCGTGCTGCGCGGCACCAAGCTCATCGCGCTCAAGTCTATTGTAAGCTCATCGCGCTCAAGTCCATCGTACGCTCGTTATATTATCAACCGTTACCTATGAGCGCTGAGGAAGCCGATTGTGTAGCCAATGAGCGTCGTCCATGTGCTCACGCGGACCAGCCGTTCTCTTTCGTTCCTTGTTCGTCTCTCCCTCCGATGCGATGCGACGTGAACGCATTCGCACGAAGGTCTCGCGCTGACCTCGCACGGCGCATCCTTCCCTACCGTGGCCTACCAGTGCCCGCGATTCCTCGCGGTTGCTAGTTGCCCCCGTTTGACCCCTCGCATACCGATGGCTCCTCGTGTCCGGACCCCTCCTAATCTGGTCACAATCCCTTGTTTCGGACCCATCTGGGCGCGTGGCAGGTGGACGACGCCATAGCGCAGTGCCCCGACGACAACCGCCCCACCACGGTGCTCGTGTACGACAACAAGCTCGCCATCGACGTACGTCGCTCGCCACGCCCTCCCCGCCACACCTCCCATCACCTGCATCTCTTCCCCTGCCACTTCCCGTCATGCCTGTCCCCGCCCCGCCTCTCTTCCCCTGGCCCGTTCCGTCGTGTCCCGTAGAATCATTTGTTGGTTGTGGTTGTCGGAGATATGGCGTCTCGTCAATGTTCTTTCTCTCTCGTTCCCTTCCGCCGTGCCGTTCGTGCTCGCGTTCAGCGGTCCAAGGCGTCGTTCGTGGAGGGGCGGGACCGATGGTGGCAGGACGAGGTGGAGAAGGAGAGCGAAGTGTGCCCGGTGAGACGCTCTCCCCCCTCACGTGCCATGCTGCGCCATGTCGTGTCATGTCATGCCCCAACGCACCAAGAACACTTCGTGGCAGCGTTTTTTCACCAAGCATTCCTTTGGGGTCTTTAGGATGTTTCCAGACTGACTCTCACACCCACAGTTCTCGAACTCGTACTCCAACCTCACTGCATCCCACTCACAACGAGCGCGCTGCCATTTCCGCGCCTCACTGTGCGACCTTCCCTTCCCTTCCATCGCACCACCACCACACACCCGTGCCGCCCTGTCCGTGCGCGCATGCGCGTGCGGGGCGGCAGGTGGAGTGGATGGAGGCGGAGGAGCCGCTGTTTATGCTGTACACGTCGGGCAGCACGGGCAAGCCCAAGGGCGTGCTGCACACCACGGCGGGCTACATGCTGGGCGCCGCCACGTCCTTCAAGTACATCTTCGACCACCACGAGGACGACGTCTACTGGTGCGCGCCCCCGCCTCTCCCTGCACCTCGTTCTCTCTCCTCGTCTGTCTGCCCCTCCCTCCCTCCCTCCCTCCCTCCCTCCCTCCCTCCCTTGTCCCTCACTCGCGGCGTGCGTGCCCCCAACACGGCAGGTGCACGGCGGACTGTGGGTGGATCACGGGGCACACGTACCTGACGTACGGCCCGCTGCTCAACGGCGCCACCGTGCTCGTCTTTGAGGGCGTGCCCACGCACCCCGACCCCGGGCGCTGCTGGGACGTTGTGGACAAGTACGCAGGGGGGGGAGGAGGGGGGAGGAGGGGGGAGGGGGAGGGCTTAGGGGGGAGGGGCGAGGTGAGAGGAGGGGGTTTTATCGGACACTTGGCACTGGGAACTGGGAGAGAGGGGGAAGGAGAGGGGTATTTGGTGAGACAGGGGGAGTGTAGGGGATGGGGAGGGTGAGGCGAGGTGGTTTTGCTTGTGAGAGGGTAGCAAGGATGGGTGGGTGTCATTCTTCTGTGGCTGCTCTTGGCGTCCTGATGCCTCCCTTGTCTCTGCTTCCTGATTTTCTCCGGCCCTCCTCTTCCCTTGTGCTCCTCCCCCCCCCATGTTGCAGGTACAAGGTGACAGTGTTCTACACTGCGCCCACTGCCATTCGCGCCCTCATGCGATGTGGCGACCACGTGAGTCACATCACCTGCCATGCAAATATTCATCCATCCCTCCATCATTCTATCCGCCATTTCTTTTCTTTAACACTGCCTTTTTTCCCCCTTAACGACCTTTCTCCCCGTTGTCATCCCAGCCTCATTCAGCAACAGCTTACTTTGCCTCCTAACTTCTCTTTCCCCACTCTCCTCGTTCCCTCCCCGCCCTCACCCCCCCAACCCCCCTCTCTTTTTCTATCTCCCAGTGGCCTGGCAAGTACAGTCTGACGTCGCTTCGTTTGCTGGGCAGTGTGGGCGAGCCCATCAACCCCGAAGCATGGCGGTGAGGCCCCTTTCCTTGCTGCCCATAGAAATCAGCTCAACTGCTTGACTGGCTGGGGCTCAAATGTGGTGCAATGCCATGCATCGAGGTGTTTGATTTGTCTGGGACCTCAGGAACGGACACGAGTGCACTCACCCTAAAGCTACACTGTGGAGCACACTGCGGATGGAGCAACCCTTGCAATGAATCGCTTACGATGTGAACCTCCCATTCACACTTGTGTCCTCTGCACGGCTGTCTTCACCCCTGCCACCCCCCTCAGCTGGTACCACTCCGCCATTGGCCGTGGGCGCTGCCCCATTGCAGACACGTGGTGGCAGACAGAGACGGGGTCTATCATGGTGAGACGAATGGATGCCTGCTGTAGGGATGGGTGGTGTGGCCTGGGGAGATGCAGAGCGCAGGGGATGGGGGGGGGCTGCACCTTGTGCAGGGGGGATGTCTGCTGAACAATGGACGACACATGTTTCCCTCGTCCCCTCATCTTCTCTTTATCCCTTCCCCCTCTCTCTACCACCGCCTCTCGCTCTCATGCTTCTTTCACTCATTCTCCCGCTCTCCTTCCCCCTGCAGATCACCCCTCTGGCGGGGGCGTGGGCGCTGAAGCCCGGGAGTGCGACGCTGCCCTTCTTTGGCGTGGAGCCCGCTGTGCTGGATGAGAATGGCAACGAGCTCGAGGTCCGTGCGCCACTCAGTACAAGTGTGCCGGTGGCCTGTGTGCTCCCTGTAGGGGGACTAGGAGCATGGATGAGTGCCTGCGACCTGCCAATCCATGCACGATTCTTCTGTTCCCTGTGACACATAAGCTGTGCCATCGCTGCTCATGCTGCGCTGTTGCTAACCCTGTCCAATCTCCCTTCCACCTGTCCTCCACTGTCCTATCCTATTGCCTTCCCCACCCAGGGCCCGTGCAGTGGGTTCCTGTGCATCAAGCGTGCGTGGCCCAGCATCATGCGCACGGTCAAGGGCGACCACGCGCGCTTTGAGGAGGTCTACTTCTCCATGTTCAAGGTCAAGCCTCCCGTGCACGCCATACGAGCCATGCAGGGATGTGTGCATGCTGCATGGACGTGCATATGGTGCCTGTGCATGTGCATGTGGTACATGTGTTGTTTTCGAGCCCACCTAACTCGTTGCACTCAACCTTCCATCTCCCCTAGTTTAGGAGCTCATCCTTTCCCCTCTCGCCTACCACTTTCCCTCGCCTGTATTCCCCTCGCGTGCATGATGCCTCCCCCAGGGCTACTACTTCACCGGTGATGGGTGCCGCAGGGATGAGGACGGCTTCTACTGGGTCACAGGGAGAGTGGATGACGTCATCAATGTCAGGTGGGGAATCTATCACGAGCACATGACCTGCCTTGGCATGTTGGCTTTGGCACCGCCATTGTTACAGGCGATGACCTTGTGAGCAACTCTGCGTCTGCCATGCGTTGCTGTCCCATGTTCCTGTTTGCTGTCCGGTGTCCTCTCTCCCTCACTCCCTCTGCCAGTGGTCACCGCATTGGAACAGCAGAAGTGGAGAGTGCACTCGTGGCACATGAGTCTTGCGCTGAGGTATGTGGATTGCACTGAGCCTGTGGCTTGCACCTTACACCCGCGTTAATTGTGCCAATCACAAAGCCCGGATTCGTGGCCACGTTTGCTAATGCTGTGTCTTATGTGCATGCGTGCAGGCGGCAGTTGTGGGGTATGAGCACCCAATCAAGGGCCAGGGTATTTATGCCTTCGTCACGCTCATGGAAGGGTGAGTGCGTGACTTCCAACTTCCTTGCTTCCGTTGCCAAGCAGTGAATACAGCAGCTCTTCACTCACTCATGCTACCGACCTGTTACAGGGTGGAGCAATCGGAGGAGGTGCGCACGGCCCTGAAGTCTGCTGTCCGGCAGGCTATTGGAGCCTTTGCCACCCCTGACGTCATTCATTGGGCACCTGGCCTGCCCAAAACGGTATGTGTAACTGTCTTTGTACATGGTATTGGCAGCTAACTGCCGCTGGTACAAGTGTAAATCAAGATTATTGCCACACCCTTGCAAGGCACCTGGCAACTTGTCATCCACTTCCTGCTGCTCTGTTCGTTGCGTGTATCGTGCGTTTCAGCGCTCTGGCAAGATCATGCGCCGGGTCCTCCGCAAAATTGCCGCCAACGACCTGGAAACACTTGGTGTGTATTACCCCTTGTCTGATGTTATAGACTGCTGCAAATGTCTACACTACCGTCCTTTTTCTACTTTATTAATGGATTCTGTTTTACATGTCTTACCTTCTACCATGTCCTGCTCCAGGTGATATAAGCACGCTGGCTGATCCTTCAGTTGTGCAGCAGTTGATTGAGTTGAGAGGTGTGTAGTAGTCCTACTGTTTCGACGAGTCACGGGCACCGATTAATCAAAACCGCTTCTGGATTGGTAACTCTGTTATAATCATGTTGGGCTTAGGTTGTTATAAGTATACTCCACAGAGTTTACTCATGCGTTCCTGATACCGTGACCCCTCGGATATAACACCCCGGGTATAATACAAAATTCATGCAAAATCAGGGGGGTGGGTACTACATTTCGCGTATTGTGAAAGCTTGCTTGGGTCATCTTGGCAAAGGCAACGTGCTTCATTTCATATGGGGCAGCGTGCTTCATTTCACATGGGATTGCGTACATGGTTCTCGTCCAATAGACTACACCTACAAATAGGGTGGGTGGGTGGGGAAAACGAAACTGGAACTAGAAATGAAGAACGTGGGTGAGGTGGAATGGCCTCACTGTCAAACATTAGTGTATCTAGTGTTTGTATAGACTGTATAGGGTCACCTCTTAGAGAGTACAACCCTTAGATATGTATGCTTGTACCCAGGTTCTCTAGTCATTCATTACTCAGTTCTAAGATGGTATCAGCAGTAGGAAGGTCCCGCCGCCCGCCCATGCTTCCGCCCTAGGCCCTAGCCGCCCTGTCGTAGTTGACCCCGCACCCGTCCTAGCCGCGCCCGCACGCCCGTCCTAGCTGCGCCCGCCGCGCCCGTCCTAGCTGGCCCCGCGCCCGTCCTAGTCGACCCCGCGCCCGTCCTAGTCGACCCGGCGCCCGTCCTAGCTGGCCCCGCGCCCGTCCTAGCTGGCCCCGCGCCCATCCTAATGGCCCCTGCGCCCGTCCTAACGGCCCCCGCGCCCGTCCTAGCCGGCCCCGCGCCCGTCCTATCAGGCCCCGCGCCCGTCCTAGCTGGCCCCGCGCCCTTCCTAACGGCTCCCGCGCCCGCCCTAGTCGGCCCCGCGCCCGTCGTACCGGCCCTCGCGCCCGTCCTTACCGGCCCCGCGCCCGTCCTACCGGCCCTCGCGCCCGTCCTACCGGCCCCCGCGCCCGTCCTAGCCGGCCCCGCGCCCGTCCTAGCGGCCCCCCGCGCCCGTCCTACCGGCTCTTGCGCCCGTCCTAGCCGGCCCTCGCGCCCGTCCTAGCTGGCCCCCGCGCCCGTCCTACAAGCCCCCGCGCCCGTCCTATCCGGCCCCGCGCCCGTCCCAGGCCCGTCCTCGCCGGCCCGGCGCCCGCCGCTACTGGCCCCCCCCCCCCCCTCCCCCCGCACTCGTTCTGCCGACCCCTGCGCGCACCCTGCCCGTCGATCTCCGGCCCCGTGCTGACCTTCCTGCCGGACTGCCGCCGATCTGCGTGCGGCCCGATCTCCGTACCTGCTACTGCACTGCACCCTCCCTGGTACGGTTCTCCATCACCTTGCACCACACTGCACCCCCCTGCACCGCACGGCACCGCGCTGCACCGCACTGTACCGCACTGTACCGCGCTGCACCGCACTGTACCGCCCTGCACTGCACTGGACCGCACTGCACTGCCTCACCTGGCCCTGTCCTGCCCTGTTCCTGATGGCGGCGAAGCTTCGCTTCCACGCTGAAGGCCAGCCTCTGGAGTTCGAGGCCTGGCTAGCCGACCTCTGCCGCCACCTCACTGGTCAGCGGCAGGATGGCCACCCGCTCTCGGCACACCTTGACGGTACGCTTCCCCGCCCAGACCCCCCTGCTGTGCTGCCCGCTGACCCCACACCTACTGAGCGCGAGTCTACTGCGGCCGCTGCCCTCGCTCGCTCTGTCTGGCTTTCCCGTGACGCTGTCGCCCAGCTTGCCATTAGCGATGCCCTCCCCCCGTCTGAGCGTCCTCGCTTTAGGTCTATCACCACTGCCCAGGCATTCTTTGACGCTGTTATCCGGCGCTATTCCGCCCCGCCTGCTGCCTCGGTGGGTCGCCTGATCCTACCGATGCTCTTTCCTGACCTTGCGTCTTTCCCCATTGTCGCTGACCTGGCTGCCCACCTGCGCACGATAGATGAGACCTGGCGCGCTGCCTGCACTGACACACAGCTTAGAGCCCACTAGCCGCCCCTTACCTCTACCCTCTACCTGCTTGCCACCCGCCTCCCTGACCGCCTTGCCGCTGCTCGTGACCGCTTCCTTAGCATTCACCCCGGTGACCTCACCCGCACAGACTTTGTAGACACCCTGACTGTTATTGAGACCCGCCACCGCTCTATCGCCCAGGCGAGCGGTACTGTGCCGGTCCCTATCTTTCAGGGTTGTGCCCCCGCTCAGTGCACCTTCTCCGATGGTTCTGCAGCTGTGGCTGAGACCGCCGCTGCAGCGCAGTTCCGTCCGGGGAAGGGCCGCCGCCCCAAGGCTGGGCGCGGCGGAGGTGGTGGGGGTGCCAGTGGAGGTGATGGTGGAGTCGGGTCGGCTGGTGGTAGAGTGGATGAGGGGACCCTGCCAGGCCCAGCTGAGCAGCAGCAGCAGCAGCCACAGCAGCCGCAGCAGCCACAGCAGCCACAGCAGCTACAGCAGCCGCACCAACCGCAGCAGCCGCTGCAGACGAGGCTGGCGATTGCCCTCCCGCCCGGGTGGCCTGGCGCTGGTGGTGGTCGTGCGCGTGGTGGTGTGCCGGGTGGCGGTTCGGGAGGCGTGAGCTGTCAGTACCAGATCCAGACCGGTCCTCGCCGCGGCTTCGTTTGCGGCAAGATCGGTCACACCACTGCCCCCTGTTTTCGTCGCCTGGACGACCTGTTTCGTCAGCGCTTCGGCCCGTCGCCTGACCTCCCGGACTGGCACAGTTTGCTTAGTCGTAGAGTTCATATTTTTGACATGGACATGGATGCCATTGTTTCTACCGTGCATGTGATGTACACTGGCGGAAACAATTGTCCGTATGTTTTGCATAAATTTGGGTTTTTTTTTCTTTAAAACCACTATACATTAATCCTTAATATTTAATGGTGGTACAATTTGGGAGGGGCACATAGTGGATGTGTTCATAGCACAAATATCCAGAATATTATATTGGATATAACTCATATCCCAAAAGATATACAAAGGGTACATCTGGACAAATACTTCCAAGCAGAGAGGCTACTTCATAATTGCGTATTTGGTACATAGCCCACCGACCTTTGGCCTTGATCACCTTTCGCACCCTCCTAGGCATATTACCTACGAGGTTAGTACAAACCTCGGCAGGGAACGTCGTGCACTCTTCCTGGACCCACCATTTAGCATAAGGGGGTGAGCACTAGAAAAATCGCGAAAAAGTTGGGCGTAGGCTAGAGTATTGTACACGAATTTGGATTGAATGGTATCTTTGAAACTAGCCATGGTGAGGTGTGGCCAAAGATGCAATTAGCCGGTCGGGCCCATCTTATCACGGATAGTCTTCATCGTACCATTGTAGGGTAAAATCACAAATAGAGCAGCCAAATCTAGCGTAAACACCAGGAAACTGAGGGTAACGTTGCACGGTTGAGTGTGCACCCTTGCACCATTAAAAACATACTAGGGTCTGCGGGTCTAGTCACGGTGCACCAGTCATAGAAGCCAAGACTATTCTGGAAAATAATCAGGGGCCGGCTGCAATTCGTGGACTCGCATGCTGAGTGGACAATTAGTGTTCGAAAGCATGTGATCTGGTCAAATGGGACCAACATCAACTGTTTTAGATCCAATGGCCGCACGTTTGCCTGGATTCGTGAAGGCACAACCCTGCAACATCACCAAATCAAACAGATGGTAAACCATGGGGACAAGGATCGGTGATGGTGTAGGGATGTATGACATGTGCAGAGGTGGGGTTCATACGCAAGATTGACGGACTCATGGAGAGGCCCCTGTATGAGGGCATTTTGCATGATGAACTCGAATTGAACATCCATTTCTATAGGATTTTCCCCTCTGAGGTCATCTCGGTGCGGACAATGACCCCAAGAATTTGTTATGCCTAGTGCATGAATGACTTGGAGAACATGAGTATGTAGCCCTGGAGTGGCCTTCTTTCTCACCAAACCTCAACCTCTGGGCTTACCTGAAAAGGGAGCTGGCCAAGCAGAAAAGGCCTTCCTCTGGAATGCTAGAGCTTTAAGAGTTGGTCCAAGAAGAATGGGAGAAGATCCAAGCCGAGGTTTGCTCTAGCCTCATCGACGGCTCGCCTAGGAGGGTGCGGGCAGTGATCAAGGCCAAAGGTCGGTGGGCTAGGAACTAGAAACACACTTTTGAAGATTGCCCTCCCTGCTTGGAACTATTTGTCCGGATGTACCCTTTGTGTATCTTTTGGGATATTAGTTAGATCCAATGTACTCTTCTGGATGTTTGTGATATGAACACATCCACTATGTGCCCCTCCCAAATCGTACCACCATCAAACATTAAGGCTTAATGTATAGTGGTTTTAAAGCAAAAAAAACCCAAATTTATGCAAAACATACGGACAATTGTTTCCGCAGTGTATGCTGATGACTCTAGTGTGCTCCCCTCTTATTACTCCTTGTCGCCTAGTGTAGGTGTGCCTAGCTTAGCCTCCCCTGCTGCGTCAGGCGTAGGAGCTTCTGCTTTGTTTAGCCTTGGTGCTTCCGCCGCCCCGTCGCCAGACGCCACTGCTTCGCTTTCCTTCACATTGGACTCTGGCGCTTCCCGGTGTTTCTTCCGCGACTCTACTACGTTGACGCCGCTTCCTGTTCCTGCTGCAGTTTCTCTTGCTGACCCCTCCGGCGGTCCCGTAGTCGCTCGCAGTTCCACCACCCTTCCCTGTCCGGTGGTTCCTTCGGGCTCTCTCACAGGTCTGCATATCCCCTCGTTCTCAAGGAACCTAATTGGTGTCGGCTGCCTCCAGGACCTTGGCGTCACCACTACGTTCCCTGGTCACGAGCGGTATGCTGTCTGTACCGAGGCCGCCACTGGTGCCCCCCTGTCCACGTTCCCCCGGGACCCGGTGTCTGGCCTGTTCACCCTGGAAACCGTGAACCCCCCGGCTGGGGCGCCCCTTCAGGTGGCTGCGTCTACCTAGGTTGCTGCTGCCTAAACCTGTCGGTCCCTCACTCACCTGCCTAAACTTGGTGCTTCCGCCGCCCCGTCGCCAGACGCCACTGCTTCGCTTTCCTTCACATTGGACTCTGGCGCTTCCCGGTGTTTCTTCCGCGACTCTACTACGTTGACGCCGCTTCCTGTTCCTGCTGCAGTTTCTCTTGCTGACCCCTCCGGCGGTCCCGTAG